GTCACACACACACACACACACACACACACACACACAGAGAGAGAGAAAGTGAGAAAGGTTAGAAAGCATCTCACCAGTAGGATGGCCATATTACAATCCCTTCTCCTCTGTTCTCTCTCAGGAATTTTTGGGCATGCACACATACACACTGAGCATTTTTTTTTTCAGGCTGTTGGTCCAGGATTTGAACCACATAGTTAACTATGTGAGATCCAGTCATCTTAACTATTATTCCACTGTTGGGATCCTATTAGCAAGTCAAAAAAATTTTTTTGAGTGCCTTCAACTATTCCCTGATGGTCCAACCTTGCTGATTATCTGGTTGTTCTCTGACTGCAGAGGGTAAAATTGTCTCTTTCTATTTCTATTTCCACCCAACATGATTCTTAGTTTGGATTAAAAATCTGAAATACAAATTCAAAATGCTCTGTTCATTCTTACCTCCATATCTGTTCCTGCCTAATTCTTTCCTTGTCCTTTGCTTTTTTTAGAATTATTCATTTAATTTTATTTATTTATTCATTTTTTTTTTTTGGAGAGATTTTCACTGTAGGGCGTGTGCGCTCGCCAGACAGACAGAGAGAGACATAGAGACAGAAAGCAAGAAATCACCCCCCAGGGGGGATGGTCACGCCGCAATCCCTTCTCCTCCATTCTCCTCTCGGGATCTTGGGCACGCACGCACACGCGCCCGGCGTGAGTTTTAAGCCACCGGGTCCGGGACACGAACCGCGGTCGACTATGTGGGAGTCCAGCAACATAGCCATTACGCTAACTGCTGGTTCCCTATTATATCCATTCTTCAAAACACAACTGAAGCTCCAACCCCACATGAAATATGTCACAGCTACTTTAGTCCACAACTATAGTTTGTTTTTTTCTGAGTTTTCTTTGCGTTCTTAACTTATACTATAAAGGTAATGGTCTGTTTCTATGTTGTTTTAGAATGATTCTTGGACTATTTATAGATTTTAGTCTGTCTCCCTAGAAAATTTAAATATTTCTTTAAGTCTCTGTAGATCACATACTTAACATTTTTGGTATAATGCATACTTACCACAATAGTGAATCCATGCTGTAGTCATTCCATAAAGATATATTGTTTATACAAAAGCAAACAGGTTACATGACAAAATTTGAGCTAATAATGAAGTAATTTACAGTACTGATTGTAACTTTGGAAAATTCTCAGGCATCATGGACATCGACACTGTTGTCAGTCATTTGGCTCCCATAATACACGTCACCATTATGTAATGTGATTAGGATCATATGTAACTAGGTATATATAGATAAAAATAGCCCATAGCCCATTATTATTATTTGATAGGGACAAAAGGATTTCCTGGAGCTTTCATGGCCATTATCCTGACGAAAATAAAAATGCAGTCTCTCATACATAAACTATTTATATTAATATGACATACTAGCTCTTAGCAGGTATTAACCCAAGTTGCATTTTCCCCTCAGATATGGCAAGGGCTAAAAGAAATTTACAAATTCACCACAATTATATCACAAGATTTGGTTTTATTTTTATTTTTTAAAGTAAGGGCAACGAACATAATAAACAGAAGCAAGAAAAGAAATTGAAGTTGGAGAATCAAGAGATTTCTTCATAGTGAAACATGCTAGGCAAGTGAACAATTTCCTCTGGGAAACATGTTGGAAACATGCCGTTTTTATCTTTCAATGAGATAAAAACACTCAATAGTGTATAGACAGAGACAAGGCACCCCGGCAGGAAGATGTGGACTTAGAGACCCAAAAGGTCATTTCCATCATAAGTCATGTCGCTTCACAGCAGTGACCATTCCTTTGCATTAGTACCATGTACTTATGCCTTGTCCTCTCTCTGTCTCTTCATATCTTTACCTTGAAATATATTGTGTTGGAGTCTGTTACCTTTCTTTAAGAATGAAAATATACATTTCTGTTGAACTATTGCAGTGTATTGATATTAAGAATAATGGGAGTTTGCAGGTGGTATGGTGGTTAGGGGCGCTGGACTCCTACATGGCTGACCGTGGTTCAAGTCCCAGACCTGGTGGCTTGCTTTATCACTTTCTCTTGCACTCTCTCTTCTCTCTTTCACTCTCTCCCTCTCTGTCAAATTAAAATAAATAAATAAATGGATAAATAAAGTTAAATAAAACAATTATTTAAAAAACAAAGAAGAAAGAAAAGACAGTCTTCAAGGTCTAGTCTTCACAGATTGAAACTTAGATAAATTTAAGGGAGTGGACCAAGTTTATGGCTTTGTCTTAGTGCAACATTATTAAACTGTAGATGAATGCTAGAAAATAAAAGCTAGGGAAATATACTTGTTTAAAGTGGGAGAAGTGGATGAAATCTGGGTTGGAAAAATAGAAAGTACCTTATGCAAAAAGGTTACAAGACAAAATCTGAGCTAATAGTAATAAATTTATGATACCCGTTATACCTTTTATCTTCCTTTGTCCACCTAGAGAAAAATTCCCAGAGCCCTGTTACAGGAAATACACATACATACACACATATAGTTCATAAACTAAAAGGAAAGACGGAGAAAAGAAATGAAAATTTAGGGGTTAAAAAATAAAAGCAAAGATGATTCTTTGAGGGACCTTTCAGTATTATTTGTGTTTCATCTTCAGAGTTTGAAAAATAATTTAACCCTTCAAACCTCTTTCTCCACTAGTTAACAGTATGCATCTCACAAACTAAAGGTTCTAATTACAAGATTAGTCATGGTACTCTGCTAAAAGTTTACATTTCCAAATTTAAAGAGGGAACTTGACAACTACTGTATATAACTAAAACTTCAGAAATAACTCTTACAAGGGATAATGCCACCATGACTCTTCTAAATCCTTCTTGAAATGATTCATCTTTCCAACTGGCCTGTCTCAGAGTTAATGTAGCAAAGGCCTTTACCATCCATTTACTGCTGTGCCAAAAGCAGTCCCACATTTAACTTCAAAGGCGTGTCACAGACTTATCCCTCCCCCTTCCCTGCTCCTCTTCACCCTCCCTTCCCTAGCAACTGGTAACCGGAGCAACAGAACTCTGAATCTAGAAAGAGGCAGTTGGTCACTGGCCTCATTCAACTTGCCAAGCCTCTCTGAGACAGAAGCACCAGTCATTTCTCCAGACTGAGTTGGCTGGTGTGGGCGTTCAGCTGGTTCTCTCCACCATCTCACGAAGGCTGTCCTGATCAAATTTCTCCATGGCTTGTATTGAAAATGTGTAAGTATAAAACTGACTACAGCTGTTTAATTTCAAAGTCAAAAGTTATTTTGAATTTCTTTACTGTGTAATTGGGACAGGGATGAGTGAGTTAGAATGAGTGGGAGAGGCTCATAGAAGAAAAACCATAAAGGATATAAATTTAGGTACAAAGAATACTAAATTTAAGATTGGTTATTTTAAATGTAATTTGGAACCGAAGTTACTAATCCCTAGACTATACAGTGGTGTTTAAACATGAGGAAATTCTTTCTCTATGATATGATAAAAATTAAATAAAAGGATTTTTTTTAAAAAATTCAATGTTAAAGTAGAATTATGTTGTATAAGGAAAAACTGTAGTGTTCACTAACATAGCTAACTTTTACTTGGCTTCTGTGGAGAAAAAAGAAACATGTTTTCTCTTAGAAGACATTTTCAAAACACTCCTAACAGAATCTGAATGCTGGCCTTAGCGGATCATAGATACTGCAGGGACATAAAAGAGCTGATATTTTTCATCATATGCTTACTAAAAAGCTAACTGATTCTTCAAGGCTTTCTTACTGCCTCGGGGAGTAGGATAATGGGGAATGGACTATAGCCATAAGGTAGCCATGATGGGCAGTCACATAGCCTGATGCAAAAGGAATCACCTGGAAAGAGGCCAGAGGGTTGAGAAAGTATTTGTGTGACTTCACGTAGGAGAATAAAAGGCACTCCTTTTTCCATGGTATATTCCGATGAATTCAGTCAATTGCATATTTTAGATACTTTCTGGTCACTGCATTTCCATTTTATGAACTTTTTCATGTTTGTTTTTGCAAGCCTTGGAGGGCACACTCCTTCACCTACAGAGGTAGCTGTGGACAAAAACGGGAGCCAGGATCAGCTCCACAACATGACCCTGCAGTTTCCAAGTTGCAGGCCGAAGGATGATGCAGAGGCCTGGGGCCAACCTCGCATCCCACTGAGACCTCCATTCAGTGTGCGGACCCATCTGAAAATAGAGCAACTGGAGCACCCCTCTGAGAAAATAGGATCCTGCATTCCTGTCCTTAGTTCAAGACCTCTCAGACAGCCCTATGGGCCACCACCTGCTGTTGCGGAAGAGTCCCTAGCAACAGTAAAAGTAAATAGCTCCAAGGTGCTGCCAGGCCAAAAGCAGAAGGGACAGGATTCTATTAATGTGTCCCTGGAAGTGTCTGGTGGTTTCCCTGCACTGATGGTAGGGGGCACAAGTGTCATTAATGAGAAAGGTGGCAATAATGCCAGGTTATATGTCCCTTTGCCACAAGGTAAAGGAGTCTTTTCACCCCGAGGCCCACAAGTAAGAGGCCCTCCACATATTCCCACCCTTAGATCAGGGGTAATGATGGAGGTGGCTCCAGGAAATACTAGAATGGCCTGTCAGGCAAGGCTGGCTCATGTTTCTTTTCCACTGGGAAGCCCTTGGCACCCCATGGATAATTGGCCAAGGCCTGTCCCGATGACTTCAGGTAGTTCAGGCGTATCTTCTTGCTCTACTGCTCATTGCTTTTTACCTCCTCAAGCTCCAAGTTTCAATCCATTTCTTGCTATGCCCATTGCTTTTGCTCCTCCTCTGATATTTGGTCCCCCACTGCCTTATTTTACCCATTTCCTTTCTAGGGGAATGCCAGCTCCTGTGCCATCAAATAGAGACCACATCTGAAGGCAAAAGAGGGAAGAGAAAAGATTGGGGAAAAAGACAAAAGCCACTCATTTATAATTTTACGTGTCAAATCCCCTATGATTTCATATTTTGTTTAGCACTAATGTGCCTTACATACTTGGAGATTCAATAAAAATTCTAAAATTTGAAATATTGTGTATTATTTTTAAAAATGGCAGCCAGCAGGCCTAAACATTAGATTTTGTTCTCTTCCTATCAGGGTTGTAAAACAGACACATGCAAATATTTTCTGAATAATTTGGTACCACAGTCTTTGGAGTTCTTCAGGCAATGTGACTGGAGAGAAGGGCTATTGGGTTCTTGCTAGGCCAAGTCTAGAGTGAAGAATTCCTACTTAAGGCTGTAGGAATTGTATAGACCTGGATGGGTGAATTAAGATCAGGTCCATAAAGGCAGGCCAAAGTTCACAAAATAGTCAAAATTGCCCATATAGTAAATGGAATTTGAGGCAAGAATAACAACATTCAGTCAGTTAGAAGCAGTACCAGGCTGAACAGTCAGGAAAGAAGAAGGGGGAAGATGGGACATTCTTAGATCACTGCTTCAAGATGAACTACTGTTTGCTTCTGAACTTTTCACTGTTGTTAAGCACTTTGTACTGATAGCACTGGGCTAATAAGAGTCCAGGGACAAGGTGGAACAAGACTGATCTCATCACCGGTTCTGTGAACTAAGGTCTACTCTATGCTCAGAACTTTTCAATGCAAATGAAAATATTTCTCTCCTGTGAAAGTACTTTTTCAGACATTGCTGAATCGGAACTTTTCATAATTTGTTATGGGATCCTATAATAATGATGATTCTGAGATTATTAAAATGCCTATAGTGGAAGCTTTCACAATTTAAGGGATGACACAGGCATACTGTAAGAATGGACATTTTGACAGTTATATAGCTTAATGTGCTATAAAGTGCCCTAAAACACAGTGTAAGTGTGTAGAAATAACCACTTAATTGAAAATGTCATGCCAGTCAAAGGCACAGTAGTTAAGGCAGCTGGATTCTACTTGGCTAATTGGGCAGTTTGAGTCCCAGACTCAGTGGGTTGAAAAACATGCCAGGTGCATGTGCCTGAATGCTCAGGATGTCAAGAGGAGAAATGGAAGAAGAAATTGGAATATGACCATTCTCCATGAGTTTTTTATCATTTATTGTTTTCCTTCTCTCTCTCTCTGTCTGTGTTTCATTCTGGTGAGCATTTAGCAAATTTGTTAAAAAAAAAAATGTGTCTTCGAGGACAGTTCTTCAAATAAGCATTTTTCATATCCAGTGCTGATGGTGTAGGTTGTTTAACCAGTCATCTAGATGTTGACAAGCCCTGTGGACCTCAAAGGCTCCTACTTTATAAGAAAAAAGGCATGAATGTGCTTTTAACACCAATTGTAGAATCTTCGCTACTTGGGTAAGAGGGACATATGGATTCTTAAAGGTTCTTTTTCTCCATCATTTCATATAGATAGTTCTAAATGTGCAGGTTGTAAGACAGGGCTTAGCAGGAGCATCTGATAGTTCATGATAGAATTCCCCTTATTCTGTATGTGTCCTGAAGCTGGCACAAGTCCATCAATTCACTGTGGTGGGTTGAGCAGAAGTATTCAGCAAATCATTTGACAGCTGCTCACTATGAGGTAGCTTAGTCCCAATGTACCAACACTTACTGAATTTTCAGCCTTAATGAACAGAATTCAGGCATGCTTATAGTCATCAAAAATATCTTTTGAGCCAGATGTTAAAAGACATTTTGACAAGAAACCAAGTTGTGGTGTCAACGACCGAGCTGCATCTCTAGAGAGTTGCTGAAAGTGTGGTAAGTGACAGTAGGACAGGATCTATTTTCCTTCTCCAAGGAGGAGCTCTGAGAAACACTCAGAAAGACCTTACTTATATTTTACAGCAATCCATAACAAATTCACTAAAACAGGAAAGTATCACCAGCACAATCGACTCCTTTTCAGTCCTCTATTCTCTTTCCTAACACCTTGTGTGTGTTTGTTATTTTCTGTCATTTTAAAACACAGAACATCTATAGAAAAGGAACAAAGAATCACTATTAGCAAATTGAGGCATTGAAGTTTTATTTATGCTTCTGTGGTTTAGGATAAATATGTTTTCTTTAGTTTATTTAGAGCCCTGTGCCTATGTAACAGGTTTCAGTGAATGTAAGGATAGAGTAAGCATAGGATCCTGCTGTTAAATGCAAGTGAAATTCAAACACTTTTGTTTATTCATGGCTTCTGTATGAATAAATGTGCTAGTGTCCACAATGACAGCAAAACATTTATTATTAAATGGACGATTTGCTTTAAAATTGCTATTTTAATATTATTCTGGTGGAATATGAACCAATATTAATCTTATACCTTAGCATCCTATTCAATTTTGGAAGTGTTCATAAAGCAATGCATTCAACACTCTCAAACATACGTGTTTTCTCTTTATACTCTGTGGTTTAAAAGCTCCTAAATGCAAAAGGAAAAGAGGAATATGAACAAAGTAGACTCTTCTAATAATAATGGGAGCAGGTTAAACATTTTCGACCTTAAGTTATAATCATCACATAAAGTTTCATGTCATACTGTTTATTATTTATAGTTCTCATTATATTCTTTGTCACAAGACTGTAACATCATAATTTTAATGTCCTATATATTTGCTAGAAGATAATAATAAACTGTACAACTGTGACCTTTTCCATGTCCCAAAGTTTGATTCATTAGCCATTTCTATTTTTCACTGCTTACAACTTCGTAGCCTGAGTGGAAAAGGTATATATGCAACCAATCAAAGGGTAGGATATTGAAAAGGTTAAAGTTCAAAGTTATGAAATTTTTAAGCTTTACAGTCTTTCATTAAAGCAGAATGACATTAAATTATACCTAATTCTTCTGAGAGTTATTACAACCAAAACACTAAACAAGACCAAATAATTTATTTTCACTGAAGTTTTAAGTTTGTGATCACAGTGCTATCTTTATCCACGATAGAACAAGAGGTTTATAGTGTGACTGTCACTAAATAAATAGGTATCACATAGATAATGAGGGAGAAATATATCATGCGATAACTATCACTTTATACTATTACAATGGCTTTGTACCATTAACTACTACTGAGAGATGCTGAGTTTTAAAGCCCCTAAACATAGGGCTACATAAAATGACCTTATTTCAAGATCTATGGGCTAAGGTCAGAGACAAAACATATTGGACAGGTTGAAAAGTGTTATGTCATGTAATAGGCTAATTCTACAGCTATCACAGAATCTTGCATGTCTTCATAAGGAGCTCAATTGAGCAGCATTCCCACAGAAAGAGAAAGTATTAAGACTAAATTAAATAAAATAATCCATATATTTATCTGTGGTGATATTCCTTTTCCTTTCTTATAATAGGGTTAATGTGTATCATTTACAAATCAAGTCTGGATTTGAGAATTCATAGAAATTGTACTTCATGCAATCTTTTTCTTGAGTGATTGAGAAGGTGCTATTCTTGCTAAACAATGATTACATATATGTTTTCTCATTAAACTTTACTGTCGCTCAGAATTTTTTTTTCAGTATTTTTATTTCTCAAAGAAACTCTATGTGGAACTTATTTTCCTGCAAGTGACTTCACTATTGCTTTTTGAGAAAGAAAAAGTATCCAAAATTATTTTACGGAGGTAAACTGCCTGTATTTTTCTCAACTTGAGAACCAATTTTGTCAAGTAGAGTAAGATAATATAAAGCTTACAAATCCATCAATCCCACCATAAAGGACTTTATTCATCTAATGGTGTTGGATCATATAATTCATTGGGAAATATACATTTATAACTGACTTCATCCTCTGTGTCTCAGAAGCAAAGCAAAACAGGGAGTATGGGGGTTGATGAATGGTGTTTGTGCAAGTGAGAAAGAGAAAGACAGATGGAGAAAGACAGAAGATTAAAAATAGAGAGGGGCAGGGACACTGTCAGTTGAGAAGAGATGAAATACTTTAGAACAAGAAGCAGCTGCAAATTGGAAGTACTATGAGAAAAATAAAATTGGATATGTGAGAATATAATCTAGAGTTGATAAATTAGAATGGTTTGAAAAGAAAGAAGTTTTATGGATTAAGTGTTTCATGACAGAAATGGCTATGTGTAGGAGTCACACATTTGAGGGGGTTGGGATGAAGTGGTTAGAGAAACACTATCTACCCTTCCTAAAAATGAATCTATCTTCACTGCTTCATTCCTTCCTATAAATATCATCTCTCCTTAGATAGCAGCCAATCTCATATTCCCTGTGTGAAATTGAAAGCACTTTGTGGTTTAGGTTTCATTAATCCCCCAAACTGGCCTTGACAAGCAAACACATCATCATCAAGGTTCCTCATTATTGAGGTAGGTATGCAATGAATTAGACTCAAATAAGAACATTTCCTCTTCAAGTTCTCAAATATTCAAGACCCTGAATTTTTTAAAATTTAAAATGTAGTCTCCTTTTTTCCTAATGAGGTTCACTGATTATTTTCTAATTTTGCTTTAAACCCCTCCCACTAAATCATAATTTTCTGAGGTAGAGTTGCAGGCTTTATTGAAGTACACTTCATCTAGAAACCAAGTACTCTATTAATTTCCCTGGGGGGAATATCATTTCTCCTTTAGGCATAGAATCTTCATTGTTCAATCCTCATTGATACTCAAGCTAATTTGCAATGTGCAATAAATATGTTAAAGAGAGCATTTAATCCCCTAAATAAAAGGTTAATTATTCATAAATAGGACAATTTTTAAAAACCTTTTATTAGCTGTCAGTCACTTGTGAAGGAAAATAGTCAAAAATAGTGTTTCAAAGTTTAAAGCTATGTCTATAAGTCGGTCTATAAAGATCATCATTAAAACATGAATAATTCCGTATTTACAGAATAACAGTTAAAAAAACCCTTCAGATTTTATATGAGCTGTTGTTGCTTTGATATTGGCCATTTTCACAAACCAGTCATAGTCTGTGTGCATCCCAAATTGTCCAAGTTTATAATTAGTTAACCCTGCTTACTTCACCCATAAATGGAATCAACCCATGAATGTATTATCTTAAAAGTGTTATGGCACATTTTTCCTTTACTTA